ACGTTTGCCATGTTTGAGGATGTCCAGAGTCAGCAGAACCTCAGGGCTTTCCCTCTTCTCCTGGATTCTGTTCAGGGCTCTTTCCAAATTCAGCCAAAAACTGATCTCCTGCAGGGCCGTGCCCGAGGCCGGGTCACGGTCAAGCTTGGTCACCTGGCAGGGTGCAAAGAACGAACATGACGCTTGTTTTTACATTTCTTCACTTTAATGTCTCTACCTAAAGGCATCTCTTGTGTCTTAGACAAAAATAAGCAAATGTCCTCACTTTCTGGATCTCCCTGATCCAGCGGTTCACGCCAGACTGCAGCTGGTTCAGGAATGTTGGGTCTTCAACTTTGTCCCCAAAGTCAGTGACCTTGGGCTTCTCTGCACGCTCATGGCACTGCTTGGTGATGTTGGTGATGATGGGGTGGATGAGCAGGCTGATCTCAGGAATCTCAATGTTCTGCTGCAGGTGGAGCAGGCCCATCTCCAGCTCCGCAATCTTTTTCTCAACAGAGGGAGCCATCTTGTCCCCATCTCTGTAGGGTTTGACAGGACGTTTATATTCCCCGCACAGTTTAATATTCACTTCTAAATGCCAAGAGTCACGTGAATCACAATTAGGAGAACATTACCTATCGGCTTTGCCAGACTCGCGGATGTAGGACTTGAAGAAAGGAGCGACTGCGTTGCTGATGAAAGAATGGAGAGTCTCGTAGGGAGAATCCTCACTAAGGGTCAGCACGCGAACTTGAGTTGATATGGGCTTGTCTGCGTCGATGACACCTGTCCTCTTGATCAAAGCCAAGCTGCAGACGTTACAGGGAGAAGGGTTTGGAGAATAACAGCAATTTTAGGGCAGATGTGCTAAAAGAAATACATTTTGTTTTCCAGCTTATTTACCGTATTTTTCAGACTATAAGACGCACTGGATTACAAGGAAACAAGTTAATTTTAACAGATTTGTTTTTAGCACCATGTACCACATAAAATTGTTTCGAGGTCAGTGAGCACAACCAGAATTAATACGTACGGCACACCGGATTATAAGGCTCACTGTCGATTTTTGAGAAAACTAAAGGATTTTAAATGTGCCTTAGAGTTAAAAAAAATATGGTAATTAAAAAAAATACATCTTTCAGTGAACTAAAACAGAGTTTACCTATTGGACTTGATCCCATAGTGTATGTCGATGCTGATGTTGTAGGTGATGGACTCCTTCTCCTCCTCTCCTTCATCGCCAACATCCTCTGCACGAGGAACAAAGTTAAATTTCTAACTGAACGGTCATTGCACACCCAGACTGGACTCAATACTGTTGGTGCGACTTGCAAATAAATTCAGACGTCTAAAACCAGAGCACTTTGCATCATGGATGTTGTGGTTCTAAAGCAGAATGAGGAGGTGACTGTGGGCACGGATCCAACACCTGCAGGCTCAGGCTGGCTGCTGATGTGCACCATCACAGGACCCTCAGGAAGTAACTCCTCACAATCTGAACTGAACACATCAGCCTGAAGGAAGTGCAGTATAATGCGTCTATTGACAAACTGGTTCACATGATAAAAGCCCAGTAAGGTGCACACAATCTGACTTGTAGTGGGAACAAAGACTCATTGTTTTAGAGCAGCAAGGACTTTGAAACATTTTGAATTAGAGCATTTGTTGATTCGTATTTGTTCAGTAAACCTGACAGTTATCAATCGAGCATAATGAGCAGCATTTAATAAATACAAATGACATGTTATATGACATGCATATGTCATAACTTCCTGAAGGGGTTCGAGGTCCATTGGACCGCCCCACCCACTGTGGCGTAGTTGTTGCAACTGATTTAAATGTGTTCTTGTTGCAAAGTGTTTCTTAAACTCGTTTAATCTGAACATCTGGTTGAATAACTCGCTGCACAGTGCATGCCCAGCTAAACAAGTTAATTCATCGCTCCTCCCAGAGTTTGACAGAATATCTGACAGGCATTTCTTTGAATTTTAACTTAATGTACCTTTGAGAGCACTTCTCTCAACCAAGATACTCTGAACCTGGGAATCGGCCAAAAACTTCCTCATCTGCTCCACGGAGCTCTTCTCCTCCAGGGCGGTTTCCAGCGAGGCCGGGGCCTCGCCGCCATCTTCCAAGAGCAGCGGGACCAGTTTCCGGAGGTGCTTCTGCAGCACCGAGGCATCCGCCACCGTCTGAACGGCCGAAACCTCCATAGTGCCGGAGCCTTCCTCCGTGCCGCCGCCGTCCGACATTTTTATGAAATCAACGGTGGACACAGGCTGGAAGGTGAACAAAGAAACGACGGAGACGAAGCCGGGTAGACAGCTCTGTAGCAGGGCTGTCTACCACCGAGGCTGTGACAGACGCATTTATATGCGCAAAGGATTGTGGTCCTTGTAGTTCGATGGATAAGTGACTCAAAAGACTTCGTTGAAGAAAGACTACAACACCCAAAATGCTGTTAAAATAATTGTTTTTGCCCGCTAGAGGGAGGGAGGGTGTAGTGTGTATCTATGTGTCCAATGATGCAGCAATTTTGATGCTTTAAAAAAAAAACTGATTTATGGTTTGTAGATGACGTCGTTTTTCACATGTCATTGTGTTTTGTGAAAAGTTTACAGCTTGTCACAATTTGACACTCACATAAGAAGTTAGTTTTGCAGACAAGGCTCATAAAAATCTTTGCAGGTTTATTGACATGTTTATTTCTTGCATGTTTATATATACTCAGTGATGGACAGTAACGAAGTACATTTACTTGAGTACTGCACTCAAGTAAATTTCTGAGTATCTTTACTTTACTTGAGTATTTGTGGTTTTTTGAGCTTATGATTTTCACTTTACTACATTTCAAAGACAGATGTTGTACTTTCAGCTCCAGTACATTTCTAGGAAGCTTATTGTTACTTGGTTTGTAGGCTCAATCATCCAGGTAGACAACAACAAAAAAGGTCAACTCATTTCATCTGGACCAGTTTCTTTAAGGGAGAAACGTTGCATCTTCCATCCAGAAGACTTCATCAGTCTGTGGCCTGCCAACCAGATCTGTCCCATCAGTAGCCTTCACTGCTGTGTTTCAAGCCAACCTCCTGTTGGAATCTCAGAAGATGCAATAGGACCCATCTGTCCAAAACAATCAATCATCATGTATAACTATCAAATGTTTTAGGCCAGATGGCCAACTTGCTACTCACAGAAACAGCCTGGGGACACCAAGGCCAAAATGGTTCAGAAGAACGGTTGTAAGCTCAATCATCCAGGTAGATAACAAGAAAAAAGGTTAACTCATTTCATCTGGACCAGTTTCTTCAAGGGAGAAACGTTCTCCCTTGAAGAAACTGGTCCAGATGAAACGATTTAAACTTTTTTTGTTCTTCTTGTTACTTGTTCCTTTTGGCGCAGCTTTGTAATCGTGTTGCCGTTTTTCTTTTCTTAAATGCAGTCGGCCAGTTGTTGATCCAGGTTTCATGCTAGATTCAACTGTGCAGAACATTCATTGCTTTGTAAGCTTTTATGTTAAGTATGAGAGTACTTTCAGTTATCAGTGTTACTGTTTCCTCTCCTGTGTTAAGTTGTTGCTGTCAATATGTGCACTTTTACAATGTGCTGTATGAATAACGAAGCTGAGGAAAAGACTAAATCTGCATCATCTGTTAGGATTTCCATGACTTTCCACAAACATGTAAAATGCAGGGAAGATATTTGTAGTTCACAGGTTTTATTAAGGCATGTGGTGCTAGAGTGGTTCTACATGTCAATACATCATCAGGTGGTTTCAGAGTTACAAGGTTCTGTAAAAGCATTCAAAACAATACAGCAATGTACTGATGTTAGAAAATATAATTTGTACTTTTAAATACTTGAGTATTTTTAAAATGCATGTACTTTTGAACGCTTATTTTCCAAAGTACTTCAGTACTTTAACTTGACTGAGCAACTTTTACTTGTAGTTAAGATTTGACCACGACTATCAATACTTTTACTTAAATACTAGAATTGAGTACTTTGTCCACCACTGTAAATACTTTGCTTTTTAGCACTGTAAAGACCAACCAATTATTAAAGTGTACATGGCATAAAATGATATATTTCAGCATCTGTTTTGGATGGGTTGTGTGTTTTTCCCCTTAGGGCCCCTTTATAAAAGAGGACACACATTTTTCATTCAACCTTTATTTCTCCAGGTTAGTCTCATTGAGCCTCGAGGACTCATTTACTAGAGAGACCGGATTTAAACAAAGAACACAGCTGAGGTACAGAAAACAATGTAACTGGATTTATTACAGCTCTTTTAGGGATGAGTCAAATCAGAATGTTGTCATAAATAGTAGAAAAAAATAAAGATAACGTTTCACAGAACCCTAGCTCACACACACAATTCAAAAGATATAACACGCATCTAAATAACAGAGAAAAACACTAAAGTTTTGGTGTTTTATTCAATAAATATCAGGAGCAATAAGTCAAATCTGTTTCAAAGAGTGTTCATAGTTTAAAAAAAGCCCATCAAATGAAAAGATAAAAAGCATGCACACCATATCCCTGAGTTAAAACATATTTACAATTTTTACAGCGCCTGTTTGGAAGCTACATATGAAATGTAACCGTTTGGCTGGCACTAAATAGCTTTACATGTAAAATATGTTTCTAATGTGACTTTTTTAACATGAGACGGCAGATTATTAGTTGAAAACAAAAGAAAAAGTTAAGAAATTCAGATGTAAGGGAGTCAAACGATCTTACTGGTAACTGTTTTGCACTCAAAAACCTCATTTCAAAAACATACTTGCAAACATTATTATATTACACTTGTAAAAAATTACAAATAATGACCTAATTTTAACAAAGTCAGGTTTTTGCAATCAAATTAAAAGCTCTAGCATTAAACTTTGCACAATACAACAAAGGAGCTTGTTCAGAACAGTAAGACTCCAGTTCCAAAGTGGATTTGACCCATTTGACCTGAGTCTTGATTCTCTGAATGAGATACAAACATTTAGGTAACATATTTAATAAACTACTGTTACGGCGCAGCAGTCTATGAACACACACTCAGTCGTCTCCTGGGAACTTGAACTTGGCGTAGACGATGAGCATGACCATGGACATGACGACACACAGGGAACCGATCACGAGGTAGGCGATGCCCAGGAAATCGTTCTTTCCACCCATCCAGGACACGTTGCTGAACACCACCTTCTTCCTCCCGTCAAAACTCAGAACAGGATAGTCTGAGGAGCAAGAATTAAGGCTTTGCAACAATCGCACAATGTGCATTAAGAGAATTTTAAAAAATTGAAAGCAAGAGAAAGCACCGTCATCATGCTAATGTTTTTACTATAGCAATAAATGTGCAAAAATATTTATATAAAAATTACTTCCATTTTTAGCTCAGTTGTTAGCAGTTTTAAAATATGCTACCATGCATTTTGGAAAGTTTATTTGAATGATTACAAACTTGCAGCATAGTATGATAAATTATTCAACTCCTATGGTGTTTAAAATTCATTAAAATATAGATGTGCCAATTATGGTAATTGTCAGATATAATTACCGTAATTTTCAGACTATTGAGCGCACCTGAATAAGCCGCGTCCACTAAATTATTTATTTATTTGGTACATATACAGGCCACACTTGTCTATAAGCCGTGACCAGTTTTGGTAAACATTTTCTCTCCGCTAGTCATCCAAGCCCCCCACTGAGCTCGGAGTGCCATTTTAAATGCACGCACAAGTCACGCTTATTTCGAATGGCTGCAATAGGCCTGTCACGATAACACATTTTGCTGGGCGATTAACTGTCTCAGAAATTATTGCGATAAGTGATAATTTTGTTTGAAAATTGACAGTAATTTTTGTCAAATTTAAGAAGAAAAGTACCTTGTATGACCACTGGATGGCAGTACAAGACTGTCTAAACCTAAGGATTCATGATAGTGAGAGAGCGAGCAGCTGCATGTCTCCTTAAGAAAAATGTATGTTACATATGCAAAATGTTTTTTTCCAAAGCGTACAAGTATGTTATTCAAAGCGTTTAGAATAATTTTGCTGTTTATATGTAATGCCATAATAAATGTATGTTTATACCGTTTAAAAACGGCCTCGGTTTTACACAATGTGGTGGGTTGCCAGTTGGGCTTGTTTTGTGCTTCTTTTCATAGAGCTGGTTGCTTGTTTCTATCGTGAGATCTGGCAACACTGTACTCGTTCTTGTTTTTCGCTTTTCAAAATGGTGGATGCTCGGAATGTTTTGAGTTCTTTATACAGCATTTTTCACACAAAGCTTTTAATTAAATTTTTTTAAAAAAAATCAGTAAACAAGTGCTCAGCTTATTTTTGCAGAGTAAAAACTTTTTACACGAAGGCACGGGTTTCAAATGTGAATTTCAGAGCTTCGACAAGACAGAGCCCCCCCCCCCAAAATTACGGTAAACTATCATCCTTAAAGTGATGCATATATCCTGCCACCTTTTAGATGAAAAATAATTATGTTGAGAAATAAGAACTGTAGCCGTTCTGGTCAAACCTTCGCTGGTGGGCGACAATCGGTAACCGTACGTATGAACTTAAATAAATCTGTCCAGTGGTTCATGAGATATTTTGCTAACCCTACAGAAACCTTTGCTGACGGTCATGAATAAATATTTTCTGTTAAACGGTTTGAGCTTTGCAAAGCAGGAATAAAGTGATTTACAGAGTTTGTTTCAGGATAGATGGCGATCATTATTTGCCTAGCTTGTTTACCTAGGTCTTAAGATTTGCCTGTTTTGTTGTTCAGGATCTCCTGAGTCCTTGTGTTCATTCAAACTATTTAAAAGGCAGAACCACACCTAACCAGTCCAACAAGCTGCTACAATGTACTGGTTGTAATGAGACACCTCACCTCCCGGTTTCCTCAACAAAGATGTTTTTAAACTCAGAATAATTGAAAATATGTAACAGACCCATGATATGTTGGACAGATGCCCACACAATTTTTTCTGAACTAACTGTGCTCCTTTTTCTTTCTTAACATAATAAAATGTATTTCAAGGTATAACATGTCAGTGTTTTTTTTAACTGATTCTAAGTATCTGCTTGACATCATTTTGCATTCTCTGACCTTCTTGATGTTGAATATAATTTTCTCTCCTGATGATAGATGTGTCTAGCCAACAAAGGTGAGAAAACTTTACAGATAGAATATGTTGGTAATGACTCTCACCAAATTTTAGCTTAATATCTGTAAAGTTTTCTCACCTTTGTTGGCTGGACACATCTATCAACATCTATCATCAGGAGAGAAAATTATATTTAACATCAAGAAGGCCAGAGAATGTAAAATGATGTCAAGCAGATCCTTAGAATCAGTATGTGATAATAAAAATAAAAAAAAAACACTGACATGAGTGCTATTATAGCTTCTGAGATGTGAACAATCTTCTGTGTAATGTTATGCACAAGATATAACTACACACTAATACACTAACTAATACACACACACACAAACAAAATACTACAATAAACATAGCGTCTTATCGTTTCTGATATTACAATGTGAACACCCGCGGCTTATTTATGTACAAACTTGTGTTTTATTTTAAATTTTGTGTGCGTGGCTTTTTCTCGGGTGCACTCTAGATCAGAAATTATGGTTACTTAGTTGTGGACTATATTTTTAAGAGCATTAAATAAATCAAAAAGCTGCTAAACAAACAGATCTACTAATATTTCTAAACACTTGCCTTACAATTCCCATCCATCCATCCATCCATTATCTTTACCCGTTTATTCCATTCTGGGTCACGGGGGTCGCTGGTGCCCATGTCCAGCAATCACTGTGCGAGGGGCGGGGTACACCCTGGACAGGTCTCCAGTCCATCACAGGGCCACATAGAGACAAACGAGACAAACAACCATTCACTCTCTCACTCACACCTAGGGACAATTTAGAGTTACCAATCAGCCTAACATGCATGTTTTTGGTCTGTGGGAGGAAACCGGAGTACCCGGAGAAAACCCACGCATGCACGGAGAGAACATGCAAACTCAACCCAGAAGGCCCCTGGACCGGGGTTTGAACCAGGGACCTGCTTGTTGAGAGGCAGCAGCTCTACCAGTTGCGCCACTGTGCTGCCCATACAATTCCCAATAAATCTGTAAATTGTTTAAAAGGATACTATAGGAAATCTCAAGGGTGTAGTTTCCTGCAGGTAGACCGTCTTTATAATCCCCCTCCGTGATTCGTCGATAAAGTTTCCTGAAATTTGGCAGAGCTGCTCTCCTCATCCACACCAGGAAGTCTTGATTGATGAAGCCGTTGTTATTTGGGTCCGAAAAATCCAGTTCGTACGCAGCCTTAGTCCAAAATATGGGCTTCACAGTACCTGAAAGTAAAAGCAGTCTTTTCTTTAATGCTTTTTAAGTAATATTCACCTATAACTGAAGATCAGTACAGGACGTTCTGGTAAATAAAACTCAAGCTCCAACCATTGAAGGCATTCTTCAGAGGCGTGACATCAGGGTTTTTAAATTTGACGTTGTAGTCTGTCCACCAGGCGATCCCTTTCCCGTCAAAAGGCACCAGGTTTCTTCGCCCATTGATGTTCTGAAACAGCTTGAAGGTGTCTTTAAAAAGCAAATAAAAGCAAGAACCATGAATTCCTTGACGCAGCAAGAAAGCCTACCTGATTTATGCTTCCATCATACCGTTGAACATGCTGTTGGCTACCGATCCACACGGCACAATCGGTTTGTTGTTGCTGTCCAGCCTGTAGGGTGCACAGTCTGTAGAGGGATTCTTAAAAGGATAACAATAATAGATTTTAAATCAGATTTCTGGAAACTGTCTCTGCCAACAAAACAAGTGTCAACGCTACGGAAAAATGAAACACACACAAAGACACTGACAAAAACCTTATTGTCTTCAGAGAATAAGAATAAGAGGACTGTTGGTCTTTTCTTGTCTTACTGCAAAATTAGTCACGTCTCCAAAGAGCTGTTTGTCATCCCTGGACACGCCGTACTTCCTGTAGTTCTGGAAGTAGTTTGTCAAACCATAATAAAAGAAAACGGGCCCCTGAGGTTCAGAACAATGGAAAAACAGCAGAGTTTAGTTTGATGAGCTGTAAAGAACTGTTTTATGTTGGAGTTTTGTGTAAAGCACCTTAAAAAGAGTGTCAACGTTGAAGTCCAGGCTGCACACGCAGTTCTTGGTATTTGGGTCCGTGCACTTGTTGCAGTCTGAACTTTGGTCAACCCCAGTGTAATCCATCTGTGTGAGAAAAACAAAACAAAACTGTAATTACTGATGACTACAACTTTCACCATTGTCATCTTTAAACCTTTCTCAATATTTTGTAAAGTATTCTACAAGAAACTGGTAACCAGTGGAGAGAATGAAGAACCAGTTATTTCCTGAAATTTTTTGGTCTTTGTTAAGATTCTGGCAGCAGCTTTCTGGACCAGCTGGAGTTGTCAAATTGTATATTTTGGCAGACCTTGGAGTAATCCATTACAGTAATTAGTTGACTGGAAATGAAAACATGAACAAGAATTAAAGTGGAGAATTTAACTGGAAAAGACTTTCTAACATCCAACATTTTTCAGTCAGGTCATCTGGACAGTTTCTTTTTTTGTTGTTGTTGTTGTGCTGAAACGTTTTGTCTTCGATCCAGAAGGCTTCATCAGTCAAGAAAACGCACAACAAAACTGATTCTTCCCCCAACAGCTTTCTCCAAAGTGGAACAAACCAGTTATGTTGGTGATAAGTTGGTCTCTTTGGTACGGCCCCTCCTCCATTGCCGGCCCTCTTCCTTGTTGACAGTCGTGTCAAACTGGTTGAATTGAGCATGGACTTTGTTGTTTCTAACATCCACTTATTTGTTTGATGAATTATTCTAGTGCAATTTTTGTACGATTATTTGATAACACCAATATAATGTATATCTGAGTATCATCTGCATACATGTGGTACGAGATCATACACGTTAATGGAAATATATACATTGAATAAAAGAGGTCCAAGAAATGACCCTTGCGGCACTCCACATGATAGTGGAAAATTCTCTGAGGTGCAACTGTTACAAATTAATTGCCGTCTTGAAGATAAGATTTAAACCAGTGTACAACTGTCAGAAAAAGCAAAAAAAAAAAACAATGTTCAAGTCTGTAAATTAACATACTGTGGTCAACTGTGTCAAATTCATTTTATTAAACCTTTATTTTACCAGAAGAAAAATGCAGCAGTGAGGTCCTAACACAAGAAGAAGCTTTGCCAGAATCTACCATAAGTTAAGAATGATGTCATTCAAAACCTTTATGAGGGCAAGGCCTACATCCAGACTGGTAGATTTAACTTTAACTGTTAAAAATTGTGTAAGTTGAATAAAAACTATTTTTTTAAATAATTTTGCTGATAAGTGGTAGATTTGAAATATGCCAAGATCTTTTACTTTCACAAACGGTTTGATAAATGCTTTGTCTCATTTTTTTTCCCCTTTTGACTTGTTTACGTCATCCATGGACTACCTTACCTCCAACACCTGGATGTCCCGTGAAGTGATGAAGAGACCGACTCCGATGCCGATGAAAGCGAGCCCGATGAGGACAAACCCTGGGATCACTATGCCTGCGGACAGAATGGGCTGCCATGCTGGAAGCCTCTGCTGAGTGAAGGCGGTGTTGTCAGGCCGGTCTGATGACTCTTTCTTTATCTTCACCATGGCCTCGGTTCTGTTGGGTTCATTCTGTATTAGCTCAAAGGTCTGTTCTTGCTTATAGTTTACACCAGAATTCAAGTTTGTTATACTAAATCACTGCCTATGCAAAGTTTAGGAAAGAAGCCTGGATGGGTAAGCTTTACTTTCCAAAGTTCTTCTTTCTTTTGATGTTGTTTTAATCAAACAGATTAATTAGTTAATTGATCACATTAAATTAGATTAAATTATGAATTTTCCACCTGATAAACACAGTTCACCCACAAAAGGTTTTATATTTCACATAAAAACTGTCCATTTACCAATTAACGAACAACTGCTTTAGATAGCAGCATAACATAGACCGCATAACAAATTTTTATACGTTTTTCTATATTAAGAAAAATTCAGTATAATTACATATATATTTGCTTACTTACGCGCAGTTTAATCTAAAGCCGAGACAAAGACATAAACAAAGTTTCCAAGGCGGAAGGAGCGAGTGAGCGAACGCACCTTTACCTGTCTGCCCCTATAGCCCCACCCACCTCTTCTTCCTCTTCTGTGCATAATGACGTCACTTTCAGCAAGCCCACGCCAGATTGGTTACAGAATGTCAAACACGGTCCGTAGTCTGAGATTTCGATTCAAAGTAAAATACATATCGGAAACTCTTAACCCCGTACATTTTACTTAAAAAAAGAAAACTATTTTAAAATACCACATTCTCAGCAAATTACTTTTTTTTAATTTAGAGTTGTGCATAATGGTTCATCTTAAAAAGACACGGTGTTGTGCCTAAAAAAGGACCCCTCCGTAAAAAACTGCAGTAAAAAACAAACAGCATCCTTCTTCGTGAAAAAGACAGGTTTAGTCACACATATTTTAAGTGAAAGTCAAACGATACAAAAGCTCTCGTGTTTTTATCGCTCTGAACTTGTTTATCTATAGTTATTTTATTTCGACATGCAGGTCGTAGCAACTGTGAGCTTTTCATGGTACTAGATAAACATCCCCTCGCCTGACAAAAAATTACCATAATTACCTGAATGTGTTATTATTAAAATGCTATTTTTATTTCACCATGTGTAAATTATGAGTTGGTAGGTTAATTTTATTTTTGGTTAAATTTACTGGTTAAAAAAATAGTCACTTGTTTATATATTTATTTTTCAACAATTTTGCTTTACGGGTGCTTCTCACGACAGGGCAGCTTTTATCGGTAAAACACCAGACGACGAGATTGACTGTGCTTTCAACCAATCATATTACAGAATGGTATTGCGTAACGTTTCCACTCACCAATCACAGTGGAGCTCCGTGAAAGACGTCTGCAACCGTTTCGTCTTTGTGTTAACATCTTCGGGGGTTTGAGGGGTATGACCTGTGTTTTTCAGTATTTTTCATTTTCTTTGTAACAAATATTTAATATGCAAGAGAATTCCCCTTTTATTTCGGCGTGAATCTATCTTTATTGACCAGTTTTCTCTGCAAAACCGGCGCACCTGCTCCCGTGCTAGCCACATCTCATTGTTAGCGTATGCTAGCACGGCATGGTCTTTAAATGATCATTTGAACCAAGAATATTTAAACCAGATGGAAGTTTATGTCGGTAATAAAAATATGTGTTACTTTGAAATTATGAGACGATGGAATTTGATTTCCATGTTGTATGTGAAGGTTAATTGCGCCTCAAAACAATCAATGATGTGCTGCTAACATATGCTAATTGGCCAAAATAGTAATCAAGATACTGACAATCCAGGTTCGTTTTTAATCAAACATAAATGTCCTGGCAGAATAAGTATTAATTGTTACGTTTTAAAAATAACTAATTTTGATGTGTATTACTTGGTTAGCCCGTTATTAATTAGAACCCGTGCATTTTGCTCAGCTCGTATTGTTTGTAACCATATGTCTCTGGTTCTGTCTTCATTTCTTAGTGTTTGAATGGATATAACCAGGTGTACGGAGAAATGGGTAAAATAAGTCAAGGTTTCTGTATCTTGGAGCCCTCATTTCATAAAACCATCACACTCATGCTAAGTTATTGTTTTTAATCAGTGGTCAGCTGTGATGTGATTTTAGATGACAGCTAGAAAATGGATGATGGTTGTAAAAAAAACAGCTTAGACAGTTTTCACACAAATCTTTATATTGATTTTATTGTTGACACTTTCACTTAAAGGTTTGATTGTTTTGGGCTGCCCTTTTTGTTTCAGGTCTGACAAAGGTTTTCTTTGTTTCTTTTGCTTAATCCAACTTTGTACTTTTGTATATCTCTTTTAAACTATGTCCTTTGAGTTAATTTGAGTTTATGAAAAATACAAGCAGTTGACCATGTTGCAGTAAACATTAGTGTACTTGTAGCGTAGGAGAAGAAAGTGGTTGTGAATATAACAGCTGTTTTTATTGTGCTTGAGTTATGATTTGAACTGAGAAACGACTAAATAGACTCAAAGTTTGTTTTCTCAGTCATCCAGGTATATAACAACAAAAAAGGTTGAATCGTGTCATCTGGACTTCGTTTTTTTTGTTAAAAAGAAACGTTTCGCCCCTCATCCAAGAGGCTCTT